AATGACACAACAACAGTTCACTCCCAATGGTGGCAGTTTTGGTCTGGGTCTGCTCGCTCAGACTGGCAGCATTTACACTCACCGTGGAGACAAGCCTCCAAAATATCAAATATTGAGCACCATTTGGACAAAAAAAGGAAGACATTCTGTCATAGTTTGTGGTTTGCTAGCCATGTTCTATACCATAACATCATGTAGCAAACTGGGAGTTGAAGAGCTAACGCTGCGGTTCTGTGGATTGTTGATAGTTCCGGGTATGTGGTTCTCAGAAGGGAAGAGTAAACTACAGCTTCCAGAAGACCACATTACTCAGTTTCCCATTCAGAGGAAAAGAAGAAATTGACTGGGAGTCACAAGATTGTTCCTTTTTTGCCCGCTTTGGCCCTGTGTGCTCCCTGGCCATCTCGCCTGCAGCATCAGAATAAGACCTTTGGTTTTCAGACACTCACTCATTTATTTATTAGCTTCAATTCCAATTATATTGTATTACATTGTATTATCTCACATTCCACTATCATTTTTAGTAAATTAGTTTTTTCTTAGCTTATGGCCTGTTGTTTTTTCCCTCATCTAAGCCCATCTTCCTACCTTTTCCCTACTCCCTTGAGTTGAAGGAACAAGGCCATTCATTTTTCTAGACACACGTTTTCAGCCCCAGAGCTGAGAAATGATGCAATAAACATCATACAGCTTCGCAAGCTAGAATATGCATACAGCAAAACAAAGCAGCTTCCTTATGGAAATTTCAACAGATGGCATTTCATTACTCCAAGTCTGTTTTGTATTACTCCAAGTTCTCCTTTACTCTTCTTACTATTTTGTCTTGAACATTCCTGTCCCCTAAAAACTACTTTCTACTTTTCTTTCCAGGTTCTCAGAATTTTCACAGAACTTATCTTTCATCCTCAGCCATGACGACAGCGATCCTATTGATGAGGGAGTAGCAAACTACCAAAATAAATTATGGACACACACTGCACGTTACAACCCACCACTCAGCTGTGTGCTTTCTCATTGTAAAGTTATCCACCTCCTATTTTCTAAAATCATTCTCTCTCATTAATGGGGATGCAAGGAACAAGCTGCACTGTATTCAATGCTATACCATGATGTTTTTGTATTTTTCTGCTTCAAATATATGGAAAAGCAGACTATATTACAGAAATTACAGAACTGTATGGATTGGAAGGAAACTCTTGAAATTGTTGAACCCAAGGCCCTGCTAAAGCAGGTTCCTTAAAGTAGGTCACACAGGAAAGTGCCCAGAAAGGTGTCTGCAGAGGAGACACTACAACCTTTCTGGATAGCCTGTTCCAGTGTTTCATCACTCTCACAGTACAGTTCATCCTTTTATTTGTATGGGATTCCTATCTTCCAGTTTTTGTCCTTGTTCTATTGCTGCATGCCACCAAGAAGAGCCCATCCCTTGACTTGACTCCCATGCTTTAGATAAACAGCAATGAGATCCCCTCTCAGTCTTCTCAAGACTGAAGAGTTGCAGTTTCCTCCCATGGAAGATGCTCCAAACCCCTGCTCACCTCTATAGCCATCTACTTGACCCTTTCTAGAAGATCCCTGTCATTTTTGAGTTGAAGAGCCCAGAACTGGACACACAATTCTCAATATTCTGGCCTCAGCAGGGCAGAATAGAGGAAGAGGACCACCTCCCTCAATATGCTGGTAATACTTCTTCTTGATGCACCCTAATATGCCATTAGCTTTCTTGACCACAGTAGTTCAGTGTATGGCATGCATAATACATACAAATATGGGTAAGATAAGAGCACCTTTAACCTAGAACTAAATTCAACAGAAGTCCAGCTGAACAGACAGAAATGTTACGGCCTTACAGTGTTAAGACATATCCAGAACCAAGTTACTGAAGATGTCACCCACTCACAAGGAAAGCATGCATCTACATTTTCTCTCTCATACCTTGGCAGCAGCCAGACCGCCTGAGCCTCCACCGATGACAATGAGGTCATAGTCGTACGAATGGGACTCTGCTGTATTCCCATTCATTTCCAGCAGCTCCTGAGGCTTGTCTTCTTTATGGGTCTGAACAGTGAAAATAAAAAGGATTAGGGAACACCAAAAATTACTTATGGTGTTCAAAAACAAGTATTTTCCTTATCATGATAAGGAAATGTAAGTGCGCTTGGATTTTCTCAGTTCTGCTTTTAATTAGCTTTTTAAAATCTTGTCATCTTAACCCATCCTTGGATATCTCAGTACAGCCGAGCTATGAACTTCTTTGTTCTTTGGTGACCCAGGTTTCCTTACAGAGCTTACTTTTCCACATCACCACAACTACAGTGCTTCCTCAAACTGCAGACTCCAGGATGAGGTACATACCTGCTGACACAGGCATCTCATTAACTTACTTCATTCTTTTCATTTGCCCTGGACTTTTCTAATTAGTGGGTTTTCCCCCTTCTGCTACATATATGAGTAGGAAAATAGAACAACCATATGCAACACAGTAACAAACTGCAGTTATCATCCTTACCAATCCAATGAACAGAAAGAACTGAATGAAGAAAACAACTTCTGAAAACTACATTTGGTAACATGGCTCTTTGGCTTAACTTTATAGCTAACTTTGAAGCTAAACAGACCAAGTGTGATCACTGAAGAGGTTCTTTTTTTTTTTTTTTTGGAACAGATACACACTAATACCAGAGAAAAGCAACCACCCAAGTCCTAAAAAGCATTTTGAGAGCTGTATGCCACAAAGAATATCACATTAATCTTCATACACTCTATGTAAAACAATTCTTTGAACTCAATTTGTGAGCTCTTCTCAATCACAACTTCAAACCTTCAGGTCTTTGAAGTTGCTGGCTGTTTCTCAGTGCTTCTCGAACTGCAGACAAGATTTGGAGTGAGCAAACATCAGATTCCTCAACTGATGTAAATCAGTGAATTTCAATTAACATCATGAGAAAACTTTTATGACTAAAAAAGTGAATGAACAAGCCCACACTTGGACACTTAATATTTCTGTTTGCTATTAGTAAAGTGTTTCTATCTGCCTACTCGGTCAATACTGCCAGAATAGTCATGGTTAACACAATACAAGCGAACATAAAAGTTTTCCCTCTCTTTTCATCTTAACTTCGTTTCGCATAAAGCAGCTCTTTGTGCTCAATTTATTCTACAGTTGCCTTCCTCTGGGGTAAAATTAGCCCCTTTCAGTATAAGTGCCAGCGTATCCGTATCAGTAAGAAAAACAAAAAACAAAAACAAAACCAACCCTATCACTTCCCCCAGCTAGAAGTGAAATGCCAGCAGAAGTTCAGACTGTACTTCTGCCTGTAGAAAGTTACATTTATATTTGTCTTTCATAACCCTAGGTAGCATGTTAACAGTAGAAACAAAACCTAGAAAACATCTGCTGTGGTGAAGACATCCAAAAATACCTTGGCTTCCTTCCTCTTCTCTTCCCACTCTGCCACCCCAATATAACCCCACCACTGAATCTAGGCTGCAATCAGTTCTTTTATTCTCACACAGCTATCAGCTGTTTTTCCTACTGCAATCAGAAAAAGACTGAAAAAAGAGCATAGACTGCATAACAACATGCAGTTTCATTTTATTAATATTTAGGGCCGTGAAAGTAATAAAACACATTGTACTTTTCCAGAAGTACACCTTGCCTGCTCAGTGACACTTAAGGACAGTCTCAAACTTAACTCCCACGCAGTCAGAAGACTCAAGTATCAAGAACTGCATCTTTATGATGCGTACAAACACAGAGTATAATGAAACCACAATACCTACTCATGGAGTTTGCTTAGATCATTAACTATATTATTTTTCTTCCTTTAAAGACAAACGCTTTGTATTTTCATATGTGCATTAAGAAGCTTCAGACTTTATTCCATCAGTGGTTCCTTACCGTTTGGTTAGTTTTTCACCAGTTCTTCATACTCATTCTTCATGAAAACATGCTAGAAGTTTAGCTCACACTTCATAGATTACATGCTCCCCTCTGACACTATCTCCCAGAAGCCAGCTCCAAAAAAACTAGACTGACAAGCTCTCATTTAAAGAGGGAACTTACTGGAATCAGAAATGGGATCTCATGCTGAGAACAGATCTCCTGCTTTCATCTCCCAAGAACTATTAAAAAATAAAAATAAAAAAATATATATATCATTGTAGACTTTTTGTTTTAATCTCAAAACTAAATGATAGAGTTTAAAGTGCAAATCCCCCTACCTTTAAAATTGTCTCATGACCTTCTATTTGCTTCTCTCCCACAAAGAAAACTGGCTGTGGTTAATTCGCACTGCACTCCTTGCCGCTTCTGCGCGCTCTCCGTGAAATAAAGGATAAAACAAAGTCGCTTCTGGAGGGACGTCCCTTATGTAGGCTGAGCAGTGAAATTGGCCGGGGGAGTGGCCTTTGTGGCTTCATCACTTCCTCAGCAGCAGCCGCCGTCTCAGGGGAGTGTTCCCTAAGGCAACCGATGAGTCATTTGCAACGTTAGGATGACTTGCTATATTTTTGTCTTTAACAAAAATCCCATACGAGAGCTGGCTGGGATTCCAGGACATTCTGCCAATCCAGGAATACACTTGAAACAAAGCAAGGAAATATGACCTGTGCTGGTTAAGCTTGAAACTTCAGCCTAAAAGGAAAGTGGTGATTTTACTTTTGTCACACAGAAAGTGACTTTTTAATGCTGCTGTGCCACTGTTTCCCCACCTCTCCCCTTTTTTTTTTTTTTTTTCCCTTTTATTTTATTTATTTTGCCCAATCTAATACACTTTACAAAGGAATTGAATGGTTTTGATTCTGCTTTTTCAATTAGTTCCTCTGGGAACTTCAATTTAATATATCATTGTTGTTTTTTTGTTTTTTTTTTTCAGGCAGCCCCCTGCTCCTTCCTCCAGATTATTTCTACCTTGAAATCTTCTAAATAAGTGTTTTCAAGAGTCTGGAACAGACCTGTGCCTGCTCACTGGTCACATCTGATTTACGACCAGGTAAGGGTAAAATGTGTTAGATGCAAGGAAAAAAAAAAAAAGACATTTGATTTGACACAAAAAAAGAAATCTGATGGATGATTGGAAGCCACTATCAGCTCTGCTTTTCTCCACATGCCTCTGGGTTACGCTAAGCCTAAGTTCCAAGAAATGGGTCAGAACACGCTTGTTTGTGCTTGACCACACACATACTTTGCACGGCGCAATCATCATTAATTAGCAAACTGACACGTGTGCATACCTGGACAGACAGCCATCCTGAGCGTGCATGCATCCTTTGGGCAGGGAGCCCACAGATCTGCAAAGCATTCATCCAAACACACATACACACAAACTCTGTCCCTGAAAACTGAACAGTACCGATGTCTCAGTTGTCCTCTGCAACTTGGAGATAAAAGTCCTCCGGCTGATGTTGGCAAAGGAGTCAGAGATCCACAAAGAGCAGTTGTTATGCAATAGTTAATAGTAATATTAGTGATGGATAACTCTTGGCCTATTTTAGCCTGAAGAAAGAATCTGGGAGTTCACGTGTGTATACACACATACTTGGGAAAAACAAGAGCATGGGTTTGAACAGCGGTCACAGCCTGCACAAAGGAGGGCTTTCTGCCCGATACATTATCAAAGCTGCAGTCCTGTGGCTTCCTAAAGCAACTGAAGTCTTATATTTTATTCTTACAACAAGTTTAAACAGTCTCAGGAATGTTCATGTAAAACTACATCTTAAATCAGATAAAAATCAAGTAGTTAGACAACAAAGGCATTTATATAAGCAACACTATCTTCAGGTAGATCTCTGCTAAAGGTTCACAGCTTTAGCAATACCCAAACCCATAACCTCTGGCAGGATCTTGAAAGCCTTCTGGCTGCAGGTTGTTAGGCCAGGGGCCTCTCCCTGTCTAGTCTGGGCAATCTGCCACAGCCAGAATGACAAAGCAAAAAATGCTTTTGTATCATGTGCTCGCTCTCCATAAGATTCCATCCATTAATGGCAATTACCATAACCCCCTGCTGGCGAATCGATACTTTCCTGGAATCAGTTTGCATGTACCGTCTCTCAGACTAAGGCTGCTCACCTGGATCAGTGAGCTGCTCCAAGCAGTCCTCAGAGATGCAACACTCAGGACAGCTCTCTTTGCTGGTAAGCATCAACATTCACTTTAGCTGCTGCAGGAAGATCCAGCCAGGTTCCAAACCTGCACTTCCTTCTCAGCAACTTTCAATAGCCCCAATCTAGGCAGTGACTATCACACGCCACCTCCCTGCTACTGCCAAGCACTCCTTCACGTGGGTTGAACAGAGCCAACAAACTGTCACAAGGGGTAAGGCTCTTCCACCAGGCTGATTTTAGTTCCTCCTGACGAAATACCCTGTGTATGTACTTAGCACCAGTGCCCTGACCCAGGAGAAAAGAACACATGGATGGTTTTTGACTGGGCTGACCCTTCCCTCTGCTCACAGGAGGTATGCCACCAGTAGCACAGCTGGTACAGGGGAGATGGCATATCCACACTAACTAGTGCAGAGGAAGAGCAGGCAGTAAGATCTCTCTCACCAGCGTCAAGCTGCCAGATTTGCTCAGGAGACTGTTAAATCAGCAGAGAAAACTTTTTAGCATTTACCTGAATCCATTTCTGAAGCAGACTACATTATCAGGCCTCGCTGCCACTTGTGCAGAGAAAAAAAAAAGGAATAACTGTGGTGTTTTAAATTCATATCCTTCCTTATCAGGAGAGAGCTTCCTCATGCACCAAAGTCCGCGCTGGTCCTGAGGCCTGGCCTCTGAACTTTAGACCCGGGTAACTCCTGGCGGGGGGGTGCGAAAAAAGGCATGGCTGCTTTCAGAGGCCTTGACCACAGGGGCAACTGGCAAGCCCTGCAGAACAACCTGTTCATGTGCAGAAATGCTCCAGGATAAGAACTGCCATGTTCTGCAGAAGAACACACCAAGGGATCGAATCATACATGGTGGGATATGCAAGCTCCAGCCCTTAGCTGCTCACCAGGAAGGGGCTGAAGGCTCTGCAAGGCAAAGCTGTGCTCTGATTTAGCTTGGTTCCAAATGCCACACAGCAAGACATAATTAAAAGGAAAGAACTCCGCAATGTTTTTGTGACAAAATAATATAATTAAAAAATAGCTGTCTTCGGTAGTTTGGAAGATGCCTCTAATTACGTAGTGCTTGTAAACAGGCTTGTGACTTGCCTTACAGTTTGTCCTCAGGCATCTGAGGAATGCTAAGTATTTCATGTGATGATGAAGGTTTATCTTATGCGTCTGCTTTTTGGTGGAGAAAGTTTCAGGTTTTCCTTCTCCTGTTTATGCTTAAATCATAGAATCATAGAGCCATTAAGGTTGGAAAAAACCACTAAGATCACCTAGTCCAACCATCAACCCATCTCCACCATGCCCACTAACCAGCTTGTTGCTGCCCTTCCAACACTGGTCACCACGTCCCCACTTGCATAAGCTCAGATACTTGGAAGCAATGGGCAACCATTACGTTATCCAGGTTACAACCATAAACAAGTGCTGAGAGGCTGTCCTGCTATCAGCTGAACTAACAGCACTGGGAAGGAATGGAAATGCGGGACAGAAGGTACAAAAGGATGAAAACCTATAAAGCTTGCCTTACCCCAGAGGAATCAATGCACCCATGCTTTTGAGACATTCAGGATCAGTGGGTGAGAAATTAAAAAACGATACATAGAAGCTTTTTCTTGTTGAGTCAATCACCTAAGTGAAATCCTCAGCTTACCTCACGCTTTGATTTTTTACTGTGGCAGACAGCAGCCTTACAGCTAATTAAAGGAAAAAAGTGAGCTGACTTGAGCAGATGTGTCAGGGCCCGCATACAAGGCTGCATACGCTTTGCTCTGGTGATTCTGGCTCCAACCAGGGCTACCTTTGACAGGGTAAACTAGCAGCCTGTGGCTATTCTCATTCCTTCCAAGGGCTGACTCAGCACCTGACTGCCTTGCCAGAGGATGCTGAAAGATAGCTTAGAGGCGCATTCAACTCCTCATCTGAGCACTGCCAAAGTCTGATCCCACAATAAGCCAGGAATGTTAAGACAGACCCACCTGACATTATTTATATACTCAGAATTCAGTGCTCGCTGACAAGCAGTGTAATCACATCAGAGATACTGACATCTGATGAGTGCTACTACTGAAGGCTAGCATATACAAACCTCAGAATCCTGCTGCCTGTGTATAAGACCAAGATCTATGTTACACCCAAATGTAATGCCTCTAGCTTTTTCTCTGAAATTACCCTTAGGTATATGGAAAGCACAAGTGATCACTCCACAGAAATTACACAGTTCAAGACCTCTACTTTCCACCCTAAATGTTAAATATTAACAAATAAGCAAACCACATCAGTGCAGCTTTCACGACTACATACATTAGCAGAAGCTTGCAAAAGCTGCACATCCATGGATTCTAATTTTAGCCTGCAAGGAAAATATTCCACAGCGAGTGGCAAACAAAAAGGTTTCACCAACATCACAAAAACACAGACCTTCCCTTGGGCTGAAGGTCTGTTGTGTAGGTTTTGGTTTTTTTTTCCCCTCAGAAGAATTCCACTACCTGCATACGTAAGCATTGAGGAAGGCAAAAGGGAGAAAAGACTGAACTGTGCACTCTGCCTTGCTTATCTGTTCACTCTAGTTCAAGTGAAAACCAAGGAACTTCCAGGTATTTGAATAGCTCTCTCACCTGCAGAGTACATAAGCAGTAGCAGACTGAACAGTGACATCACCTCCAGCCTTTTTCTTTGTTCATGGGTCTATTTTGTTACCTACTGACCTCCCATGCCTGCACTGTTCATGTAACACAAAGCAACGACATACATGTAAGCCTAGAAAACAGCTCCTCTCCTGTTTGTGACTTACTCAAAACATTGCTGAAATATCTATGCAATGACTCTGATAGGAAACATCTCACTGGTTGGTAGAAGTTTTCTTGGCTTTATGTCAAGAAAACTTTAACCTCATCAGAGAGACTCACTTCCTTACATAATTGTATTTCTGCTTTGCAACCGCTGGCTATTGATTGATCTGGATATCAGACCCAAGCCAGCTCCAACATCATCAAAAGACTGAGCTGTGTGACCCGGCCCAATGATGTTCGTCTGTGTGCTCATTTCCTTGATCTACCTAAGGTCAAGAACAAACAAGAACAGGGCATTTTGTACAAAGCTGTGTTCTGACTCACTCTTAACATCCCAAACCACCAAGCTTCATTACTGACAAACAGGAGAATGAAGCTCATTTTCCTGAGGAATCTGAGTCTTAGTTATGTTATCACTTGTATCTCTCAATATGCTATTTTAAAGTGCTTTTGTTCCACTGGTATTCTTCTTAACCTGCTTTTCATATCTAAGAGCCTAAGACATCTTCCATTTAAATAGAGCCTAGCTTGAATGGGATCACCATCAAACATAATGTGGAATAACACAACTACAAGTGGGGTACATGAACAGAAACTGGGGCTTTTCTTTGCCTCAGATTTCTGTTAATTAATACTCTAGTCTTAGTGTTACTGCAAAATACTTATCTTTATGAAAGCATAAATTCTTTTTTTTCCATTAATATTTACTTTAATCCATTAATCCATTAATATTTACTGTGATTTGAGCAGGGGAGGAAAAAAAAAAAAAAAAAAAAAAGGGCATTTAAAAGCATTTTCCTAAGTGGGAAAGCATGTCAATATAAATTTTCTTCTGAGAGCTTTTCAGCTTGTTAAGTTCTCTAAGCCAAAGGAGAAAACATCATTCCCAGCAATCAAATGCAATTAACGTATGAAAAAGGTAGAAAATAACAGCTTCACAGCTCTGTTTTCTCAAAGGACAAGAAAAGCGTACTAAGAAATTGTAAACAAACCCATCCACAGCAGAGTAGGAATTACAAACCCAAGACAAGCCACTGAAGATACACTGGCAGAGGGATGACGAATGCCACACCAAACGAAAACGTCTTCAAGTGACATCTCTCCCAGGGCCCAGTTCAACACTCCATTCATCTCTGGAAAGCCCTCACTCAAATGAGTGCCCAAAGTGACAAAATTCTCCCCTTTCAGCTCCATTTTCTTATGAGAGTCTGGGGACTGACTCAACAAAAGCCTTCAGTCTGAGAAGTCTTAGGAGACATGTACTTGCTATTAAAATGAAGGAACTTGAAAGCCCACTCCACCAAGATCCAGGCTTTCACACAGCCTTTCCCATCAGTTCTCACACCACCAAAGCCTGTAGCAATATAAGGCAATTGCTACTTGTCCTAGAAAGTCTTCAGCCTTCTTATGTAACTGTTTACAGCAAACCATATAGGATTTAGTGAGGTTGCTCTAATTAGCATTAATAAGGATGTCTTCCATGAGTATAACATCACATGTTAACCTCAAATATTTCTAGAGCACCTACAATGCAAACTATTGCCTGAAACAGAGCAAGCTGAATAAACTAAACAGAAGTAAACTTCAGACTCTCTCTTCCTCAGTAAAAAGGCAAGTAATGCTCAGTTAATTACCTATCTTTACTCTTGCCACTTCCATTCTATTTAATTGTGAGCAAAATTAACTACGTCATGAAAAACAAAGCTTCTCTGGCTTTGGAACTGTAGTAAAACCTGTAAGATCTCATATACAGATTTATTTACAATCTTCATGGAAAACATAACCTTGTAGCAACAACAATTTTTACCATGCAGTTTTATCTATTCCCTTTGAAAGTCACTGTCGCTTTTGCATTTACACATGGTAGTACAGTACTTTGTCTAATCCAAATCAAAAGAAAGAAGGCTAATTTTTGGTGTGACTACCCGTGGGCACATCATCCCCCCTGCCATACCGGCTCACCCTTCCTTTGAGACAACCTGAAATAACTGAGCTTCCTCATTTTTTTCTTGTCATTCCTGTGGTCAACTCAAACCTTCGTCTACTACAAACTGTGATTAATACTCTCGCGCTAGAGGAGGAAGAACCACCAGCCATGCTTTAGCAAGTGTGAGACCTGAGGCACAGGGAGGTGAAACAGTGTTCAGTGGGATTTGAAACAGAATCTCCTGGTACTGTACCACCATTAGGCCATACTGCTGCCAGCCACGCCTTTATTGTCTCTATCACAATGAAGTCATTTATTCATTCTCACATTCCTCTTTCTAGCTAGGCTTACATTTGAGTCACATAGAACATTAAAAAAAAAAAAAAAAAAAGGAGGAAAACATCTCACCCAGAATCTTATTTCTTTCTTTGTGCCGAACAAGTCAGTGTTAAAAGGGAACAAGGTTAAAAGAAAACAAGGTTTTTGAGATGGTCTCCCAGAATGTAAAAGAAGTTTAATGCTGGTACCACACTGTGAAAAGTAGTTAAGCTTGAATGTTTGAGATACTTTTTTGGTTTTAATCCAAGCAGGACTATTTTAAGAGGGGGGGAATGTGTTTATTTTAGGCCTGAGAAATCAGTTTTTCAGCCTTGAGAAACAGAAGAATTCAGGTGTAACCACTGATTCCTGCTTCTAGCAACTCAGCAAACAGTTTCAGCAGTTGTACAAGCTAATCAAAACACCCCATCCCTGCAGATCACTGCCCTCAAACGTCCTTGCTATGTAACTAATACCACAAATCTGAGGCATACAGATTCAGACAAAAGTCTAACTGGAAATGGTTGTGAAAGATGGGTGGAAAACAAACAGTTCACTTTTGTGAAGTGAGACACAATGTAGAGAAATGTGCTTGCTTTGTGTCAGGCTATGCATGCAGTGGTGGAGCTGAGGAAGTAGAGAGCTTCCTTACTGCCACAGCTGGGACACTGTGCCAAATAATACTTTCTTCTCTGAATAATTACCTCTACACATCAAACTGGCATGCTTGCTATTGCAGAACATGAAATAGGAGGACATCTCGGTTTACTACTAAAAACCATTTCTAAATTCTTGAAGAAAAGCTTAGGACTACACTATAACAGGCTCCTATTGTTTTCTATCCCACACCAAGTAGTAAAACCAATGGGTGAAAGTGACACATGCCATTAGAAGGGAAACAAAATCTAATCTTCAGACACCTGGTTAAGATTCTAATAGCAGGAAACAGAACTGCAAAGGGAGGAAGTATGCAAATAGAAGTGCTGGGTCAGATAGCACTGGGACAGCCAA